GCAATTTGGGTTTAGAGAGAAAGAAAAAGGCCCTTTAAAATATGGGTTCTGACACTCAGACTTCCTTAGAAAACAAACTACTAAAAAGGAGGATGGATTTGTCTAGTGACTTTTCAACCCCTTCCATGGATAACTGGAATCTTCAAGATTTCTCTTCCCAGGTGAGTCCATGCCTGTCCAAAAGTCATCTTGGGTCATTTTTTTATATAACAAATTTTATTGTTTTTTTTAATTTTTACAACAAAATGCTGGGGGATCAATCATCCAGAAAGAAAATCATATAATACATTGAGTAAATACATTAAATGTTCCCTCTCTATTTCCCTCAAATAATATAACATATTTAAAATAATCCATTTCTACATTTCATTTCTATAAATCCTAATCCTGTTTCGAACTTTATTAATTTACAATTATCATAGTCCAATTTAATCTTAGATAAACATATTATCACTTCAGATATCCCTTCTAAAATACAAATCCAGATCTATTCTGGTTCTTAATCTCATAAATCATTGATTTTATCACAAATCTCTCTTATTTCTTCTTCCACTACAAAATAATTATCCTGGTTAAAAAATAAAATATTACTCTACTCTATACATATACAATCCATCAGTCCATATATCTCTATTACAAAACATTTCTGCCTATTAGATAGACCTTAAATCTCATCCAAATAGTTCATGTCTAAAAGAATAAAAAAGAAAGGAAAGAAACACACATATTATTACACAAAGCATCATCTTACTAACTTAACACACTCAGTTGTTAAATCAATCTGAATCTCTAAAAAAACTTTTTCCATTTTCTTATTCTCATTCCATTACAAAATAATTTTCATACAAATAAAGATATTATTCAAAAAAATACATTCTTACTCTATTTAACATATATATTCTAATAATAACTGATTTTCAACTCTGAATCTTAAATCTTGTCAATCCATATTTCTCAAAGCCTTTTAATCCATTACATATGATTTTAAGTTTCTCTTTTAAGTCTTATTCTAGCTTTTTTTTCCTGCCATGCAGGTTTCCATAACAAGGCTTCTGTTTCAGCAGATAAATCTCCCTCTATTGCTTGCAATGTCATTTGGGTCAGTAAAAACCCTCCCATCCTCTGTTTTTGACGCATGGCTCCTGTCTGCTGAATAAGAAACTCAATCACCTCCAATTTTTTTGTTAGTAATTGATTATCAAAGTTGTCATAATGCTCAACCAATTGTAGTTTCAAATCCATTTCTGTTAGTTTTGAAGTTGTAGCTGGTTTAGTTGCAATCATTTTTGTTCATTCAATGTCTCAATAGGCTGTATGTAAAATGAAATAGAATCTTCTTTAGTGTAAATTAATTCCTCTTCTATTGCTTTTTGGTCTTGAAGGTCAGTTTGTAGGTTCACAGTAGAATTTCTGTTTATTATTTCTGCAGTACTCTCTCTTATTTGGAAACATATTTCCTCAGTAGCTTCATAGATTTTTTCCAGTATGAGTTTACAGCCGAGTTGTGAATAAGATTTCTCCATTTCAATACTAACTAGAACCAAAGCCTGTTATCTTTTGGTGGAGGCTATATTCCAAAACATTTAGTCAGTGTCCACCCCCACAAATAACAGCTGTTAAATTCTTTGTCTTTTTCTTTATGATGGTCTGAAGGTCAAAGCCATTCTCATCATCAGACAGAAAAAACAAAAGACAGTTGTAATTTTAAATTTCTCCACAAGATGTCCTCAGTAGACTATAAAAGTCTCTTCCAAAAATAACATTGTCAAAGTCAGAAAAAGAGAAGAAAAAAGATAATATTTTTCACATATATGCTGAATCCAGTAGTAAAATTCATTAATAAAAATTTTTTCAAGACCCCAAAGTAAGTAAAAGTAAAAAAATAGTCAATTAAAGTCAGTTTTCATCCAAAGCCTCTGTTCCCACACTAACCAACGCCGCTCTCTTAAAACAGGGAAATAAATCCAAAAATGCTTTTTACAGGCAAGAAAAAACGGCTAAGAGAGTAAAAAAAAAATCTCACCCGGATCAACCACAATTAGTGGTTCTTTGCAATTAGATATTCTTCTGACTTCTGGTTACAGCAGCAAAATGAACGGCCATTTTACTGACCGCTCTTTTCTCTGTCGGCTCTAAGGAGCAATCTCGGACCATGGAAAGAACTGCCACCCTTTCACAGTCGACAAGGACCTCCTCAATGGTAGCTGCCCCTCCAGGGCAGCTTTTCGACCCAATTAAGGATCTACCGGCAGAGAGAAAACAGCCGGTGAAGAGAGCAATCTCTTCACACGGCTGCAAATGCCGCGATCCGGAACCGGAAGCCATCTTTGGTCATTTCTAATTGCTCCCATTCAAATCCAAAGAATCAGCTTTAGCAACAAAATCAGCAGATTGTCGGCAAGGGAGAAGAAAGACTCTTATCATGCAGCAGCCATATTAGGGAAGTGCTGATCTTGTATCCTGAACACAGACATAGTATCTTGCTGGAGGGCTCAGTCCATTCGGCTTCTAATCCAGATGGTCTGGGATGGGCTTTTTACCAGATTGTCTCCAGCTTGTTGGCTGCATCCCTTTAAATTCTACTGTCCTCTATCAACAAAGCTCCTTCTGATGGCCCTCTGGTGTTGCCAAGGATCATGATTCAGTATCCCTTCTGTTTTCCAAGCCAGGGCTATGGAACTGGTGGCTCATCACCTGGGTCTTGACCTAGGTAGCCTTAAATTACCTAGAGGTGGGGTTTTGTAGTCTACACCTACATTAATTTCTTCAGGTATGCCAGTGCAGAATGCTAATAAGAATGCCCAACCTTTCCCTGGAAAATAATAGTATCAATACTATCTTTTATTATTAAATGATGTTGGTCGATCTTGCAATCCTTAACTTTAGCATACTGATTTTAAAGTGATCAAAACTCAGACCGACTAATCGATAAAATGAACTTTGGAGAAAAAATTTCACAAGCTCTTGGTGCTATTTATCAAAAACAAACGGCACAACTTATAGTTAATGGGGGCTTGTCAGAGGTTTTTACAATAGAAAAGGGGACTAGACAGGGATGTCCATTGTCACCTTTGCTGTTTGTTTTAACTTTGGAAATATTGTTGATTAAAATTCGAGAATCAGAGCAAATAAAAGGAATAGAAGTTAACAAAAAAGAATAAAAACTAAGAGCTTTTGCAGATGACTTGGTGGTTACCCTGTCCCAACCTACTCACTCCGTAATAGAGTTATTACAATTGATATATCAATATGGACGGGTTTCGGGTTTTAAAATTAATAACAATAAGACTAAAATACTACCCAAAAATATGACTAATATGGATAAGCAGACTTTGGTTAATCTGACAGATTTTGAGGTTGTTGATAAGGTAAAATATTTGGGGGTTACTTTATCTGTCTCTAATGTAAAATTGTATAAAAATAATTATGAAAGGTTGTGGGTCAGGATACAAAGAGACTTGAAAAATTGGGAGAAGTTGCAATTATCTCTTTTGGGAAGAATTGCGGCGATTAAAATGAATGTCCTGCCTAAATTCCTTTTCTTATTTCAAATGATACCTATCTTAAAGAATGAGGTCAATTTAAATGAATGGCAGAAAGGTATCAATAAATTTATCTGGGCGGGGAAAAAACCAAGAGTAAAGCTTAAAATTATACAAGATATTCGTGAGAGAGGTGGACTCAAGGTACCGAATTTGAAATTGTATTATGATGCTGTGGCCTTAACATTAATTAGTGATTGGGTTAATTTAACAAATGTAGAAATACTCCTCTTGAAGGGTTGGGATTTATTTTTTGGATGGCATGCCTATTTAATTTTTAATAAAAAAGTTGACCGGGTTTTTAAATCCCATATTATAAGGATTTCTCTACTTCGGGTTTGGAGGAAATACTACAGAAGTGATTCTAAAATACCATTATGGGCTATACCTTGGCATGCGATAGAGGAGATAAGGAGAGGAGTTAAGATGGAGGCACCTTGATCCACAAAAAATGTCTCGTATGTATCCCGACTTACAGCCCAAATGTTGGAGATGTGGTTGTTTGCATGCTACTTATTACCATATTTGGTAGTCGTGTAAAAATATAAAAGCCTTTTGGATTAAGATATGGTGGAATATTCAAAGAATTTTTAGAAGGAGGGTAAAATTTACCCCACAATTGTTTTTGCTAGGTATTGTTACCGATTGTGATACTAAGGAGGTTATATTGATGTTAAATTTAATTACAGCCGCAAGGTTGTTAGTAGGGCAATACTGGAAGAAGGAATCTTTGCCTACTTTGCAAGAGTGGTTTTTTAAAGTATCCTATCTGGCGAAAATGGCAAAGATTTCGGCTTTTTTAAAGGATCAATCGCAAGAGAAGTTTTTTGTGGTATGGGAAAAATGGATAGATTTTATACAACATAAGTTGGATATAAAAATATTACTTAGTTTATCAATAATTTATATACAAATTTTAATATTTTATAGATTGTATTATTTTTTCTTTTTCTTTATATGTTTTATTATTATTTTACTTTCTTATATTTCTTTTCTTCTTTCTTTCTCTTCTTTTTTTTAGGTATTTTCTTTTCTTTAATATTTATCTCTTTTATATATATATATATATTATTGTTAATTATTCTATTAGTAGTTTAAGTAATGTATTTAGACTTATCTATGGTTTATATATATTTTTTTTTAAGAATTCAAGAAAATTTAATTAAGCCTATATTCAGCTCTGGGAAAGTTGAGGGAGGGAGTGGGTGGGTTGGGGAGGGTTGTTTTTTCTTATTTTGTAAAATTTTAAAAATTTTCAATTAAAAAAAAACTCAGACCTACATTTGGTGAAATAATACACAGTGGAATGTATTCATGTCTGCAAGATATGCTATCTATAACAATCCAACAGAATCTAAAATGAACTTGCTAGTATTCAGTATTTTATGAAGGTATTTGTTTTGTTTAATTTTCTGTTCTCACTAATTGTAGACCTAGATAAATCTCTTTATATCCCAGCTCAAGCAGAAATGGTTTTGTCTGCAGTTCAGAAATCTCTGCCAGCAGATCAACAGAAACATTATTCCACAAAGAATCAAGAGGTGAATAAACTTCTCTTAGAAAAAGAAGCCTTACAACAGTGTCTATTTCAACAAGAGAAACAATACAGCACCTGGATTAAAGGTCTAAAATCAGAGTTGAGCAGAAATAAGAAGGATATGGTGAGCAGAATATAGTATTTAATTTTCTTTAACTTTTTTTGTGTGAGAACATATGTGTATTAAATTTTAACTATAGTCTGTTACAAATAATCTTATGCTAGGGTAGGAATTTAAGAGAGTGGCTGTTGTGCACTCATTCCAATCTTTGTTCATAGTTATGGGACTTAAGTTTTGATAGGTGACTTTTGTGAGGAAAGAAACTATCTGGCCTGATTCTTTGGTTTGAATATTGAAGCAATGTATTTAAGATTTATATTCAGAGGTTATGATTGAGTGACTTGATCCCATGGCAATTTAACTTCTATTTCCAGTAATATTTAATAATAAATACTTAGTATTTGTATTATAATTATTAGGATATGACATAAAATTTTACTAATATATGGATAATACCCAAATCTATTTGTTTGAATTATTTGGGTCCTTATAGATTGTGAACTGGTATCTGGATGCAGTGTTGGGTTAAGATAAAAATCAGTTAATGGAAGATGTTACTGCTTCTCCTGTCATAATTACCATGATCTCAGTCTTGCCAAAAAAAAAAAAAAAATTGAAAAACATTTGAATCAAACATGCCACAATATCCTCAATGTCCAATTTTTTAAATGGAGTTTTCATGCTACACTGTTTTGAAATAGTCTTACCAGTTGCTTTTGCCCTGTCCTACATAGATGTAAGTTTCAGGCCTCCTGAATCCAGTGTCTTGAACCACAGCATCCATTTCTACCATCTGCTTGAGATGGTAGCTAGAGTAATTTGTCATGGATCAAATATTCATGTGAATATTCCTGCTTGAGGAATACTTTGTCTCTTTCAATATATAGGTATGACTTATTTTGAAAGGTTAACATATTAAATTCTGGTCCAACTTTCCCAAATTGCCTTGAGGTTCTCAAGAATTCTGAAATCATGCCAAGAATAATCTTCTGGGGGGGGAAAGAATAACTGTATGCTCTTTTTTTCATATCCATGGCGTAAGAAAAGTAATTCTGGTGCCCTCCCAAGCAGTTTTTATTTTAACTCTTCATCTCAGTATAGCTTACTATGTCTAGGCTGCCTCTTAAGTGTGGAAAGGAACGTCATAGGGTAGCTATCAAAAAATACATGATGGTGTGCTGAATGATGGGCAGTTATTTGCCTCCTACCCACAAATAGCTGATTTTGCCACCAAAGCTGGTTATTTGGTGGCTCTGCTCCCTGCTTTTTGAAGGGGAGACTATGAAGGACCCAAGAGGACCTTTGGATGAACATGGAGAAGAGGGGTCTTGCTGGCTGCATTTCTTGGTAAGGAGCAATTAGTAGAGTTGGTCTCTTACCACCATTTCCCTTTATCTGTTCATTTTTCTTAAGCATGCCTGAGTTTTAATTACACTTTATTTCCACATGTTCCAAATATTTTTAAGTATGTAAAGTTACAAATATTTAATATAATCTATAATCACAAAAACCAACTTTTTACTTAATATTTTATAGATATTAAAATCCAAGAGAAGTAAGAGACATAATAATTAATATTATAAATATTTTTCTAAATATCTTACTACCTTAAAAAGTTAGGTAGAGAGATAAAATACTAACCTAAAATTGGAAAATGTCATCAGCATATAAAAGATAATTTGCAGTGACACCCCATCAAAGTAATACTTTTAATTTCTAATTAAAATTAAATTCTTTTAATTTCATTAGCCTTATAATGATGGTGAAAGGTTCAAAGATCATACTAGGTGAAGGGTCAAAGTAGGCAGCTTCAATTCAAAAGTCTGAAATCATTCAATTGTTATAACTCCAGCACTGTGTTGCAAATAATAAATCTCAATGCCCCAAAGAAAGTTCTATAAAAAGAAGCTTCTAGAAGAAGAAAGCAGAAAGCAGAGCCAACAACCAGGGCAAAGAACAAACACCCAATGAGTAGACTGGGTCTTCAAGTCTCTCCAGTCAAAAAATGGATAGGTAATCATCCATAGGTGGTCCAGGCACTTGCTCTTCACAAGGACACCACAGGGCAACATTTTTTGAGTGTCAAGAGATGAGGGAATAGCCATCTTGCTCAAATTTAGTTGGCACCTTTTAAAATACACAAAGTTCACATACTACATTTCATAATCACATTTGGTAATTGTTTCTTAATTATTTTTTAGCCACTAGAGGCCTTTTGCTATGTGGGTATGTCTTAAGGAAAAATTAACCACAGGATTAAGAACTAAGAACAATTGAAATAAATAGCAAAAAGCTAATTTTAGAAACATATGAATGAATTAAGAGTCCAGAAAAAAAAGAAATAAGATTTTAAAAAATCCTTTCTGTAGGAAAGTAGACATTTTAATTTTTTTCAAAGACATAAAAAAGATAAAGAATTTAAAAATTGGACATTAGATGAAACTAAACATTTTAATCAATGGATAAAAAACCATAAACCTGATCAACAGTTCCAAAATGAAGACTAATATTATAACACTGGAAATATTGAAGGACACTTAAAAGTAGAATCAGAAGTTAATATTAACAATATCAATAACAATGTTTGCTTCTAGGGATAGATTGTGTTCAAAATATATTGTAGCAGCAGAAGAAGCAGTTTTATCTTCCAAAAGAGAAACAGTGTTGACGCTAATGGTGGATCTACAAATGACAGGCTACAAGAATGACATAGAAAAAAATGTCTCATTAGACATATAAAAGAAATTGATGCTTTAAAACCAAAATAGAATTACAAATAATAAACCAAGAGAGTGACCTGATAATTCTTTTATATTGGACTGAGAAAAATGATTTGTTAAAGTTGGAGTCGGGATAAAAAAGAAATTAAAAAAGATCAAGTTTTACAATATTCCTTGAATGGATTTAAGACTATTAAAAGTAAAAGGAAGAAATATACATTTGGATTATTTGATTAAGATTGAAGTAGATATGTTACTATTTCTGGTAACTCCTATTTTTGCTGATACCTGAACTGAAATCTGTCTGTCTATTTATTAAATTTATATGCTGCCAATCTCACAGTTTGAGGCAATTCTGGACAATGTACAATGTAATAATGCTTATAGATTTGTTTACAGATAAGAGATGGCTCATGGCATGAAGAGATCATTGGTTTTAATTAAGAGAAAGTTATAGATTTCATTATCTCTTTATTTGCTATTCTTACTTTTCTCCCCTTTTCTTCTATTCTCTATGGGTTTTTTCCTTTTCCTTTGCATTTTTGCTCTATTTTTCATTCTTCTTTCTTTCTTTTAGTTTCCATTAGTTTGTACTATTGCATTTATAATTATTTTAAAACATTTTTTTAATTCTATGGAAAGCTATTCAATAATCAATTACTTTCAAATTTAATTCAAATCAAATCAAAGGCTTTGCTCTGTGTCTAAAGGTACTAATACAAATAGCCCATATAACATATCAATTAATAATCATAAATTGCCTGAAACCTGATGAATTTTGATAAGCTCCTACTGGGGAGTGAATTATATGTGGTAGGATAATATAGTAACTAAGATCTCAATATCAACATCATTTACTGAAATAGGTCTATAACTAGCACAAAATTTAAGATCTTTACTTGGTTTAGAATCAATTTATATGTGCCTTATGAATTGATAATGGGTGTTTATTCTTAAAAGATTCAGCAGCTGATCAGTTTCATATCAGTCTATATGTTGATTTACAGAAAATTAACAATTTCTGATTGATGACATCAGAATCAAATACAATATAGCCATTAATTTCAGAAATTAATCTTGATTGATTTTGTTGCTTTAAAGAATGTGCCAACAACTAACTGGCTTTTTCATTGGAGTCCAAATATTAAATTCTGCTCAATGAAAATATCTATCTCATTAATATAAAATGCCCTTACTGTATCTTAGTTAACACAATACATGTAGGGCTGGTCCATGGTTCTTTTGCATAATCTAACATTCTTTCTGAAACCATTTGGTTTATTTTTATTCCCAAAAAGTTAAAATATAAAGCTTGGTTTATTTTTATTCCCAAAAAGTTAAAATATAAAGCTTAAAAAAATGAAGAAAAAACACAAACAAATGATCATAAAAAGTCCATTAAAAAAGAATAAAACTATCACATATATACATATTCTTCCCCAGTTGAATACTGATTAATACATTACTACAATATTAATGTCCCACCCCTTGCGAAACAGGCCCCCAAAATTTTTAAACTACTAAATCTATTTGTAAATTATTAACCTGCCATCGATATATTACATTAATAGCAAAACAGTTAACAAAAATGATAACAATAAAAAGGTAAGATTTGATTTTCAAAACATTCTGTTAATAAACTATTATTGTAATCAACTTGTAGAAAATTTACCACAGCATCTTATCTATCCCAAATCATCCCAAGCGTTAACAGTAATTCATCCTGGATCAAATATCCATATTTGTTTCTTAATACCATCTCCCATTTTTGGTCCATCTTCCCAAAAATGTCTATATGAAATTGTTTTCCAGTTAAGTGTAATAAATCCATTTCCCAATGTTCTTCAGTCCTCCTAGGGAAAACCAATTTATCACTTATCCACTCAATTAGATTGCTACTGTTGTAAAAGAATGCTGATTTGAACTTCAGAGAGGTATATGCGATTAACTCAATTAATTCTAAGCCAGTACAGTCCATATTTTCTTCAATGGATCTTCTGTTTTCAAATCACAATCCTTTTGTGAATGCAATTTATTCAGACCTAGATGCATTTGAATATTTTCCACAGACATTATCATTTCATCAAATATTTTTAAAAAGCTTTCAACTAAGGATTGCATATAACCAAACTGTCTTTTTTCAAATAGCCACATATGCTTTGATAAATTGTTGCTCTGTGCAACTTAACAATGCTAAATAAGAGAACACAAGGAACAAAGAACACTGAAGCAAAGTGTAGAAGTAGATGAAGAATCAGGGAAAATATTTTCTGGATATTTCGATCCAAAGTTAAAAGAAAAGTTAAAATAATAAGCTCCAAATATTTTGCAAATTAATAAAAT